GTCCTGAGGCAGAGCGCCTCTGCTCTGGCCCTGTCCCTGGCTCCCTCATCACCGTCGCCAGCGGAGCGAACTGGAGAGCGTGTGGAGCGGGCTGGGCCAGGTGAGGCCTCTCCCCGTCCCGGGGCCGCGGTGGGGAGCCGCCGCCTCCTGCCCTTCATGCCCCGGGTCTGCAGGGGGCAGCGAGCGCCCCGGGTCCGGCGCAGGCCCCGCATTTTACACCGGGTCGGTCCTGGCTGGTCTGGAGGCCTTGATGTCATCATTCTCGTTCCCCCCTGGGTTAGACCGGGAGGAAAGCCCCTTTCCAGCCAGCCTTTGGGATTGGAGCAACCTGTCCTCTCTCCTCGGCGCGGCGGTTCTCGTCCCCTCACTGGGGCCACGAAGGGATGTGTGACCAGGGCAAGATGGCTTTAGGGGTGTCAGATAATCTTCCATTCCGCCCCCCGACCCTTTAACTCCTTGCGATAGGAGCCGGAGTCGGGTGCCCTCCAAAATTGGGGCTGCGGCGAGGGGCCAGCATCTCTAAAGCTGCAGCTGCAAAGGGATATTTTGGAATTGGCTTACAAAATAAAACACGAGCATCCTTTCCTACCCCCCGGCTTTCTGAGTGTTCCCCTAGATTGGTGGGAATTGCCGATCTCCTTGCTTGAGACAGCAATCCACGTTGTGGCTGTGGAAGGCTTCTGGTGAGAACGGTTTGTGCAAAGGGAAAGGTGGAGGGTGGGAACGAATTTGTAAACGAAGAAAAAACAATTATGTGGTCTTGATAGTATCTGCAGAGTAACTTCAGCGCTAATGGAGTTCGTTTGGAACATTTGGATTGTTAAGATTTGGAATAACCAACTGCTTTGTCTGTTAAATCTCCCGACTTTTATTAGGAAAATAAAAGCCTCATTTATCAAGTGCCAGAGTCTTTGGATTTTTCTGCGGTGGGATTCTGATCGATCTAGGTGAAGATTCAGACACATTACCACTTCTTATTTGCAGGCAGCGACATTGTCCTATGCTTGTTATTCCTTTTTGAGAACAACTTTTTTTTTGTCATTCAAATGCTAACGGGAGACTTTGATTTACTTTCTCTCACTTAAGGAAGCGGGTTTCAAGCCTTGTCTCTTCCTTGAGGAAAGATGGCTTCAGTTGGAATTGTGCTATGGGGAACTGTTGAGGCAATTGCTTTTGCTTGGACACACCAAATACTTTTTGTAACAAATTGGTTTTGTTTGTGCTTGAGAAAGATGACATCGTGGGTTGAAAGAGACAAGGAGAATTTGAGAGGAAGTACCATCGTTTAGAATCGAACATTCAGAATTCAGTCTTTAGCTCTTAGAATGCATAGTGATACTTTGTGTCAAATTCCTAAATTTGTATTCTTGTGTATAATGTGATCGGGTGTCTTTCCTATTGTGTGTTGTCATTTTATAAGCTGTGTTTGCTTTTGACAAGCTCAATATAAATGTATTATTTAATCTACATTGATCCATGGTGTGTTGCGTACTTTAAAAAGCTTTTGTTAAAATGACAACTGCTTAATTTAATATTAGATAATTCTTTGACCATTTTTTCCTGTCCTGTTCTTAAATTCTTTTTGATAGAAATTTGTAGATTTTCTTAGTGCCTTTGCTAAAGATGTAAACCTGAACCAACAACTTCTCTGTCTTCTGGAAAATTGGAGAACCACTCTACATATCAATTAGCTAATAGTCATGAAATTAATGCAGTAAAACATCCTGGTGGTTTGACATTATGTTTCTTGGCATAATACATTGCATTGTTGTGCTAAATCATCATCAAGTATTGATGCAACTTCATGACATCCATGACTTCATTTGCTCTCCAGCATTCTGACTTTTGCAATTCCTTACCTTTCTCAGTTCATAAAGAACCAGATCAGGAAAAATAGCTTAGGATGCTGCTGCTTAATGTCTGATTTTTAGAAGGGCCTTTATCTATTACTGCTTTATGGAGTTTAAACCCTTCAGTGAGATCCAAATCTGTGCAATTCCTACCTATTATGAATAGCAAACAGAGAAATGCTAGCAAAACCTGAGTTTTCTGAAAATATTCAGATCCCAAGGAGAATGTATCTCCAAGATGAACAAATATGTGATTATCTTCGTGATTTCAGGGTTGTTTAGGCAATGAATTAACAACTCTTTATAAAACTAGAAGCTATTTGCTTAAATAATGCCCTTCCCACTTCGCAAAATTGTTATGTGGACCGAAAGAGGTAATATTTGAGAAAGTGCTTTGTAAAACGTAAAATAAAAGGTAAATTTAAGATTGATTATTCCTATTTTATGAAACACCTATTGAGGGCCCTCTGTATGCTTGGCATTTGAGGAAGTATGTGCTAATGATTCTAAGACAAGACAGTTTTTGGTCCGAAGTTTCCCGCAGTCTGGTTGGAGAGCCAGACAAGGAAACCAGTTAAACGTACTGTAATATAAGAAGTGCATTGAATCCAACCATGGGAGACAAGGCTTCTCAGAGAGCTGGAATGGTTTTTCCCAACCTTTCTTATTATTTTGCAAAAAGTCTGCCTTTTGTGAGTGAGTTGCTTTTTATAAAAACTTATAAAAAATTCTATCATGAGTTCTTTTCCCATTTTATTCATTCACTGTCATGACACTTCCCACACAGTATGCCCTAGTTATGGTTTCTGCATTCTCAAAAATCCAACAGTTGGAGAACCTTTCTGAGTCATACACACAGGCAACAAACACAAACATGCAGCTGCAATTAAAATATCTCAAATTACTAAGTGGTGACAACTTTAGAGTGATGATGCTTTTTTGTTTTTGTTTTGTAAACTGATACAAGAGGCACTATGTTTTTAATTTGATTACTTTTAGTTAGTAGATATTGTTATCCCTTAGAATGTTGACTATAGGTGGTTATTAGTTCTCTCTTTCTCCCAGTAATAAATAATATGAGAAGATCCTATTCCTTTTTGGGTGAACCTGACAGCTTAAGCCAGAATTACACTAAACTGTTTTATAGAATCTTTTTCTGTGGACTGAGGTCGAGCATCTCTGACAGTGAACTTCTATATTCCAATACAGGTGACCAACCTTAGTGCTGTAGTTGTTTTATAATTAGTTGAGCATGTTATCACCTATATTGCAAAAACTTTATGAATTTTTGGATTGAGTAAAATCTTAATGTGGCACTGTGTTGTTTGAATATGTAGCATTTGTATCTTAAATGAAAATGAGTGCTTTAGGGTTGTGATTGACAGAAAAGTGAAGGGGATGTGTTCATTTTTCTATATTGTGACAGTTTGTTATATGTAAAGGAGATGACATATACCCAAGTTATTTTTAAATGACCCAGTACTAAGCTCAGAATACAGCTTATTTTTAAAATTGTTTCTTATGACATTCTTCTAAAAGTCTTGTAAAATTATGACTCAGTGGTAAGCCTGTAGCTTTAATTTTGCATTTCCTTACTCATGTATGTATTAGAAAGCAAATTTGCTTTGCTTTTTTTTTTTTTAAAGATGACCAGTTAACCTTTGACTTGGTGTTGTCAGCACCATGCTCTCCCAAGTGAGCTAACCAGCCGTCCCTATATAGGTACCCAAACCTGTGGCCTTGGCGCCATCAGCACCACACTCTCTCAAGTGAGCCATGGGCCAGCTCTGCAAATTTGCTTTGAATTCTGATTCTTCCTATATTAAATTTTTACTTTTTAATTTGTAAAATTTTCTCCTAAGTTTTTTGTTTTGTTTTGTTTTGTTTTAAAGATGACTGGTAAGGGGGTCTTAACTCTTGATTTGGTGGTGTCAGCACCACACTCAGCCAGTGAGCGAACCAGCCACCCCTATATGGGATCCAAACCCATGACCTTGGTGTTATCAGCACCGCACTCTCCGAGTGAGCCACAGGCCAGCTCTTCTCCTAAGTTTTTTTTTTTTTTCCTTTTTGTCTTTTTTCATGACCGGTAACGGGATCACAAACCTCGGCGTCGCGCCCGTACCGTGACCGGCAACGGGATCGCAACCCTCGGTGTCGCGCCCGCACCGCGCTCACTGGCTCAACCAGTGCATGGACTGGTCTCTATATGGGATCCGAA